CTTCTTCGAGTTCGGTGGCGTCATGTGCGTGGAGAGCGTCAACCGGGAGATGTCTCCCCTTGTAGACAGCATCGCCGCCTGGATGACCGAGTACCTGAACCGGCACCTGCACAACTGGATCCAGGACAACGGAGGCTGGGTACGTCCCCCGATCGCTTGTTCTTGCTCCCAGCTCTGGTCTGTGGCTGGTGGGCTCCAGGGTGGGCAGTGCCCAGGGGGTTGCACTCATGTTGAGGTGACCAAAAGGTTTCCCTGTAGGGCATCCGCACTGGTGTGTGCCAAAGCAGCATAGGCCTTTTGCCAGCTGTTGGATTTCACCTCGCTGTGGGGTTATGGTGGAGCAGTTTGGGGTGGGGGAAGCAGCTGCAGCTCAAGAGCGAAAAGGATGAGTGAGGCACCCTCTTGATCACGCTCCGCTCTCCTACCTCTGTCCACCCTCGCCTGGCCAAGGCAGGGTCCTGCAGCAGGGTGGGAAGGTTCACCAGAGGCACCCATCCAGCTGTTGGGCGCAGTCGCATCGTGTCAGGTCCCAGGCATGGGAGCAGTGGGGACCACGTGTGTGTGTGCCTGTGCCAGCATCCCTGCCCATCACGGGTGACGCGCCGGGCAGCAAACACGGGATCCCAGTGCTGCGGGCAGGCGGGTGGCCATCGGAGCTGGTGTCTACAGCTGCGGTGGCGACTGGAGTGAGATTTCATGGTGTAGGATATGTCTGGTGTAAAAATCTGTCTTTGTCTTGAGATGAAACAAAGGTGCTGGGAGCTGTGTCTGTGGGATTGTTCTGGAAACGGGCATTTGCTGTGATCCGACGGGTGACTGTGTTTCTGGGGTAGAGATCAGCTCTGGCCAGGGCTGGCTTCAGCATCATCCGGAAAGGGAGGATTTCCACGTGAGGAAAATGGACAGCTTTTACACTGGTAGTCAATCAATCAAAAGACTGTCCTTTCTCTTTCTCTCTTTTTACTAAATAAATAACTACATGGAAATTGGAAGGGTATTTCTTTCCTTTTTCTTGTATTAGTTGATACACTGTAACAAAATGCGGTCCCAGCTGCTTTCCAGCTGACCAAACCTGTTGTACATGTAAAGCTTATGATATTAAGGCATTGGAGGAAGAAATGGCAAAAGTTATACTGAGGAAGAAACTTCACATATAGTCTGAGAGCTGGCACAAGTCACTTAGAAATGGAGGCTTGCTAAGTAGGACACCGGCAGCTCCAGGTCCGGTCCCCTATGAAATACGGAGAGCTGACTCAGTTACACAGCACACCTTTAACAGGCGTGTGTAAAGGAATGTATGTGTTTCCCAATTAACATGGTTTGAAAGCCAGGTGTTAGTGATGCGTTACTCAATTCAATTTTTAGCCTTGAGTCTGTTGAGAAGGCACTGTCAGGCCAAGTAACATGCCGCCCGCATTGACCACCTCCATCAGAAACCGAAGATGCTGAATGTGCCTGACTAATGGCTATATGTGTCTGGGGATGCAGGGGGCATCTATGTGCTGCCATAACGGAGGGACTAAGGGTTTGGGACCCTTTTCTCAGCAGGCATCCCCATTGCACACCACCCCATGAGGAGTGCTGCAGACCCCTGGCTGCTTGTCACGTTGGAGGCAGGACTGTTCTGCTTTCCCCTGCTCCCACCAAGGAGAAAAAAAATCAAGGTTCAAGGGGCCAGAAGGGGGAGCAAAAAATGTGTGTGCGTGCGTGTGTGTGTCCATGTATTTATATACATATATACAAATACGTATATACAAATATGCATAGATATACAGACACACGCATATACACACACACACAAAATTACTCCAGTGCTTAGTGGTTGGGACCACACTCCGGAGAAGGAGACCTATCTCCTGATCCCCTATTTCATGGATCAGTACAGAGGGTTTGTAAGTGTTTTGTTGGGGTTTTTTTTCATGAAACAGGTAATTGGGGAAAAAGAATCTGCAAACACTTCAGGTTTTGGAGACCTTGGCTGGTTAAAAGCTGAGCAGCTAAAGGGTTAGGGATTTTGCGATTGCACTTCTGGGCTGGGATGCCTAACTTGTGCGTAAGTCCCTCCTCAGGCTGGAAGCCCGTTTGTGGAGCTGGGGCCCTCGGTTCGCTCCAGAGCCAGTGAAGTCATTGTGTTGACTCCAGTGAGCTTTGGATCAAATCCGTAAGCATGCTGGAGATGTATTGTCCTGCGGGTGTATTGTGTAAAGAGAAACATAAATAATGAATAAACCCGAGAATGTGAAAAGACAGGTGTTACCAGGCGTGATTGGCCAGACAAGGCAAGTGCTGGAGCTGTTTCTTGATGGTGAGAAATGCAAGAAACTCGGACTGTAAACACTGACTGCCTTTAAAAGGAAAAGATGCTTCTTACCGATAGCTGTTTAGTTGCTTATTGAGGTTTCCTATAAACAAAAGCTCCGGAGTTTGGATGCATGTGATGCCATTTACTGCCGCGTGTTATTTGTAATGTACACATGGAAGAAGATGTGCAAAATACTACCCCAAGGTGGCTTTTGCCTGTCTGCCTGGTAACTGGCTGGTACCTTTGAGCCATGGGACAATTAAACACAGGCAAAATTCTAGCTGGTTACAAAGAGGGAAAGACTATCATGAAGCTGCAAACACAGCTTTTGGGATTCTCTCTTCAGATGGAGGAAATCAAGAATGGCACTGGGGTAGTGAATTTAGATTTTTCTTTCTTTCTTTTCCTAGCTTTTGGGATCTGTCAGTGGAAAAAAGGATGCTTTAATACATGCACTCGATCTTCAGCTTGGCACTTGTGCCATTCCCCGTGTATGAACCTTACTAAAGCATCGTAAGTGGGTCTTCCAAAATAACTGGAGTGTAGGAGGTGAGGCTTTGTAGGACCCCAGCACTGCTTCCTGTGAGATCTCCCTGTCACACAGGCTGCCATAACAAGCAGGAGCACCAGCTATTGTAGTCTTCTCCTTTATGTTGAGGCTCCCTGGTATGTTGTGGAGTGGTAAGTTTATTACGTGTAGTAGTAGCGAAGAGAGTATCGGAGTTAGCCACGAGCATGTGTTGTACATAGAGTAAATTGGACAGCCTGTGCTTTGAGGCTGTTGTATGGGCCTGTGTCTTATACTCAGGTCTGAAGTATGGTCACCGTGTCTTTCTTATTTAGCTGTTTGGTTTGAATCAGTTCTGTAAGTTAGCAGTGTATTTCCAGGATGTGACTTCTTTCCAAGGAAATTCCAATTCCAAGGAAAACGAAGAAGGAAAGAAGCATATCCAGGAGCAGGCTGGAAGGGGATATAGCTGGTGGAGTATAAATTTTAGGCACTAGACATCGTTGTTAATGGTGTCTGGGGACTATTAATACCCTTACAATACACAGCATCATGGGTTTTTTAGAAACTCAGAAAAAGCAACAGATGGGGACTGCCTGCACTGAGGCTGTATTATTAGCTTGTGGTTCTGGTGGCAAATAAATACAGCTTTCAAAGATTTTCACGTAGGCCAGGATACCGCAATATTGAACTTCAGCCTGATAACATCTTAATTGTGTTACAAAAGAAATAAGAGGAGAACCAGCTCATCTCTGCAATTTCATGGTACTCCGTGTAATGTATGCTTTCTGACTGACAACTTAATGGCTTCATTTCATGTTTTAGAGCCTAGTGTTTGAGCTGCAGAAGGACAGGCTTGGCAGCGGGCTGTCGCACTTGGCGACTTTTGACTTTGACATAGGGAACATCGAAGCGATGCATCCAGAGCTGGGTTGGTCTTGCAGTGATGGCTTCCCTCTTTGGACACGCAACCTAACATATGTGGGAGTTGTGCTCAGCTCTGGATGCTTCTAGTCCAACATATGGCTTCCTCCCTGCGCTGTTCAAGAAAAAGCAAGAGCATGAGAGACAGGAGACACAGGCGCTATAATGTATGTATAGACAAGTACATTTTTGATGTAAAGAGCGTAAAGAAGCCCAGGTGAGAGAAGCAGCACTGTGTTGAAAATTCAGCCAAGAAAACATTATTTAAAATTACAGTATTTGCATCTGAAACAGGAATGTGCTGTTTTCATCCAGTTCTGTTCTTTTATTGTGGTGGTTGTGTTTGAGAGTTATGGCTAGATATGGGGAAGGATTTAAATGTCTGAAGTGGACCATAGGTGGAACACAAGTGCTTACATCTTCTGAGAGCCTGCCTAACCAGGATGGTGGCAGAAGCCCCTGGCTTCTCACTGCTTTTCATCCAAGTCAGCTGAAAGCTGCTTCTGCCTTAAGAGAGGGGAGCCACTTGGTACACTGTGTGGGACACCATTCCCAAGAACGTCCATGTCCCCGGAACCGTCAGGCATCCTCTGGCCTGGCCACTATCACTCACGTGCCATCCGCACGCACAAACACAGCGAGGGAGAAAGAAGCCCCAGCTTTTCCTGGTGGCTCCTTGGTCAAGGCCTTTCCTGAGGTGACAGGAGGTTTGCCTACAGGACCTTCTTCAGCCTGGCAAGGGGGTATACACCCTCATCTCTGGCAGGTCACCTGCCAGGTGGCTGCTGGCGTTGCCGAGGTGTCCTCCTCTTTGGCAGCAGGGCTCCTCCTCCTTCTGCAGGGGTGAGATTTCATTTGGTGGAGGAAGAACCGGGGTGTCTAGTTCCCACTGTCTGTTTTCTCAGGTGGCTGTCTACAGCCAAATGAGTAAATGCTTCTTGGACCAGCTACTAAACCCCAGGTTTCCCTTCTCCCGGGTAGACTGCCCTAATCACTGTGTTTCCTCTTTTGTTTTTGGTTTTTTTTTTCCCCTAGTAAATCATTAATTCTCTTTACTCAGTAGCATGCCTTGGAAAGGAAGTGTGGAGAGTCTGTGTGCCCCGCAACGGTCCAGAGCCCCCATGTGAAGGTTAGGGATGGCAAATGCTTCTGCCTCCAGGACAGCACTAGAGCTCATGGATATCAGTGTGAATGCCAGGGCCTTCCTGTGCTTGTGTGCAGGGCACTGACCGAAATCGCATCCCTTTCAGGCTCCGGAACTGCTCTCCCAGCAGCTCAGCCAGGCAGGCACCCACCTGCGCAGCACGTTGCTTCTATTACAAGCCCTGAGCAAAAGCCTCTCGCTCGTCTGGCATGGGATAGAGCCTTGCTTGGAGCCAGATGCCCCATGCTAGAGCAGAAGCGC